CTGAGATGCCTACTCCAAGGACAGCAAAGATAGTGTGCAGGTTTCTTGGGGCAGCTGGGTACTTCCACCGCCATATTAAGGGTTTTGCTTGTACATCAGCACCCTTGACTGACCTTACAAATAAATGTCATATTTGTTTGGAAACCATAACATGATGCAGCATATTAAAAAATCAAGAGTCAACTCATTACCATCCCAGTATTAGCCATGCCTGACTTTGATAAAGAGTGGGAAGTACACACTAATGTGTACTTCCATCATAGGAAGTGACATTGCCATAGGTGGCTGTTTAATGCAGCGCGATTCTGAGAACCATCCTCATCTGGTGGCGTATTTCAGTACGAAAGTGAAGGGTCCTGAAGTTTGATACTCTGTTACGAATAAGGAAGTGCTTGCAGTCGTGGAGAGCGTTAAATACTTTGAACCATATCTATTCCAGCGCCATTTTGTAATTTATACATATCACCGATCTCTCACACATATATTTAAGAAACGATTAAGTGCCCGCGGATGTCACGTTGGTCCCTTGAACTATCAGCACACTCATTTTAGATACTTTACTAGCCAGAACCATCACATGTTGTGACAGATACTTTAAGGAGGAACGTCGCCTCCATTGATGAGAAGGTTAACATCGAGTCTGTTCCCAGAGACAAAATGAGAGAATTCCAGATGAACGAAACTGGGCGAAAAGAAATTACTGAACATTTGGAAGGAGGTAATTATCCATCAAAGATACATTAATTGTCAATAAAAGATTTTGAACTCAAAGGTGTACTGTATTTTGTAAATGCCCAGAAGGCTCATGCAGTATTTCAGCTGGTTATTCCAGACGCATTAAGATCATCAGTGTTGAAACTGGCGCACGCTTCTAAGATAGCGGGTCATCCGGGTATTTACAAACAAATGAAAACAAAATCATTGTTCTATTTTCCAGGAATGTTGTCAGATGTAATTATACATGATAAATCATGTCAGAACTGTCAGAAAAAGAAAAGTACCCGTAAGGTACAAACCCCACTGCAGGAATTCCCAGAAATTTTCGAACCTTTAAATCGGGTGGGAGCTGGTTTGATTTATTTATATAGTAGGCACTCAAGCAATCGATACGTTTTGATATTAGTGGATCATCTGTACAAGAACACTACGCTGATTGCTACACCTCAGAGGGACACTCGCACGGTTGCCGACGCTTTTTTGCATAGGTTTGTAACTGTATTTGGTCCACCTAAGGTATTAGTTTCTGACCGGGGTCAATTAAAGAAGTTTGTAAAATTTTAGAGACCACTACATCCTTGACAACAGCTTGCACCCTCAGGCGAACAGAATAACGGAACGAACCAATCGTTCCGTTAAAGATATGCTGGCAATCCTTGCAGAGCATGATGCAGCCACTTGGGATGAATAACTACCGTATGTGCAGCTGGCTTTGAGTACTACTATCTATCAGTCAACTAACAGCCCAACTCCTTTTGCTTTTCACAGGACATTCATGTACCTTCCCATCAGTTAACAGACATAATGTTGTGTATGGAAAGGATTATTCTTCAGAAGTCCTCATTAAAATGAAAAATGCTTGGAGGATCGCAGCCATAGCTTCCAAAACAGCACGGGATCATTATGCTCAGTACCATGACAGGAAAGTACAACCTATCGTGTTGAAAGAGAGTAGTCTCGTGTTAAGAGTTAATGAATTGGCACCCGCCAATCAGAGTAGTAGGAAACTTGCATCTAGATGGCAGAGCCCTTATAGAGTAATTAAGAGAGCAGGTCCTGTTAATATTGTTATTAAAGGTGTATTTGAGGACCAAGTTAAAAGAACTATACATATTAACAAATTAAAGCAATATCAGGCTAGGGAGGAACTAGAACTGCCTTCAGCAAATCTGATTCCTGACCCAGGTGAGCTAACTAATATTTCAAGTGTTGAGTCGGATGCAGAGAACGAACTTCTGTCAACTGTCATCAGTAGTCAAGTTCAGTCTTGTCACCCCATCGTAACAAGATCTCGAGCTATGCAGTAGATGTTAATTAACTTCCTTAGTCAGGTTAGTAGAGTTCATCTATTCCTGTAGAGGCAATAGTGTGGATTTACTAATTGTTCATGAATCAGGTAGCAGACTTTAACTTGGTCTGGGGTTTTCCAGTCTTTTAAAACCCAGAGTATAATCCATGCTTCCGCCAGTTGTTTATTGTCTGTCTTTCCCGGGTCTGATTGTACACCCGTTCCAGCCCTGTCCAGTCACATGTGAGACCATCATCGAGGTCAGTGGGAGTGACTTGGCCGTGCCTTTTGATAAGATCAGGAAAGGTACATTGCAGAAAATCCTTACCCCCCCACCCCCGACCCAGTAATTCGTCAATTGGTGGCTGATTATTACATCAATCACCCGGCCGATACCTCACGTCACTAACGAGGTTGTCCTCTCCCCAGCATGCTGTCTACAAGGAGCAGTTGTTAGATGTCAACGATTAAAATCATCGGTGGTCAACGCCACCCACTTGCAGCGTCAAGATGGCAGGCAAACCGGAAGTGAATGAAGAGAGACCCGCGAAGAAGTACGCCAGCTGCAGGACTCACCAGTCCCCTCGCGACGTCTGTGGATACGTCGTCTGATGCAACCGGAAGTGTAACGAGTCGGTCACATTACTGTTCTCCCTACAGAGTGTGGTTGACTCGCCAACAGGGTGCACGCTTGCACCATCAGCCCTGGGTCAGCTGCACGAAGATATACATGGAAGTTGTTTCGGCCTAGTAGTTATGTGGCACTGCAAGATGACGTTACCCAGGAGCTGAGGCCGAAACCCACCTGTCCTGCTACTACGCCATCCACTTCAACGGCGCTCGATGTCCACTCCCGTCGTAAGACACCATTGTACGTCGAAGCTCCGTTCTACTGTCGGACAGATATCTCTAGCAGTCCCATCTATCATGACTGCTTGCGAGCTTCGAGATGAGTGATGAACTATTGTGTTGAAACTTGCGCACGCTTCTAAGATACCTGATCATCCGGGTATTTACAAACATATATGAAATGAGTTTTTGGGTTTAGGGAGGTTCATCTGGAGGCGACAGGGTATAAACATCTTGGGCCGTGACGAGGGTTCGAACCTACTTCCGAGAGGATCCCAGACGCTGCCTTAATCGACTGAGCTACGGCATGGAAAAGAATTGCAACTGGAAGTTCTACTGACCTTACTCGGATCCTGCAGCCTCTCCGAGACACAAACCAGGATTTTTACACAAATCCCCTATGCACCCAAGCTGTGTCAATAAGCTGTTCTACCTCTTCGCTCTTACTTCATTACACCTTACTTATGGCGAGTAGTAAGTGTACTTACTGTACTGTACTTACTTATGTGTACTGTTTCCCACTATAATTTCACAATGCACACATTCAATATGCATATAATAATAGTACAAATAATTTATTGTTTCTTAACTTTTTTATTCATAAAGAAACATACTTGTTTCTTTCTTCTAATCTCACTTCTTTTCTTATGACATTTTCTCCAGTCACCTCTTCATTATTATTTCCTTTTATCTTAATAGTACATAAACTAAGAACATTAAACATTCAACTATAATTTTTTCTCCATGCAAAACTTCTGTTCGTTCCTAATTCTTCTTCTCAAATTCCACAATATCATACATTTTTACATATGTTTTCTGGAACAGGTGCGCTCTAAGACCATTTTAAACATTAAGAAGGAGAAATATTGTAAGAATTTTCCAACCCCACCTTAATAATTTAGAGGATACATGACTGATTGAACTGCATTTTAGCGTGCAGTGGAGCTACTACACTTCTATGGCATAAGAATACCACAGTAGGTACGGGGCTGCTGATTATATTACAGTAGACAGAAGTGCCCTTTATTAGGTTTTACTTCTCATATTTCTTAATTTAGTTATGATCCAAATTGTTAAATTTTAAAATGATCAGATGTCTATAATATAAGTGAGAATGTCTATCTATCTATCTGTCTGTCTGTTCAAAGTTGGAGGTCAGACACGTGGGCCTAGACTTACCCAAATTTGTAGGGGAAATAGTGTGGGTACTGGACGGGTGGGGTAGGCCCAAGATGAATGCTTCAACAATATATCAAGTAACACAACACTCCTGAGTGACTTTCATTAAGTCTGAAATTAATCCGAGATGAAACTGGGAATGAGATGTTTGTAGAGCGGGAAGTTTACCCCCACGAATTTTCTGAATTATAAATTTTCTGGGGAGGGGAGAAGAAGGGTGGGACCATGGTGGTGGAGGAGAGGGAGAAGTGGGAGGAGAAAGAGAAAGGGGCAGACCAACTGGATGGATAAAAAATCGGGAATGAGATGTCCGTAGAGGGTGAAGTTTACCCGTGCACATTTTTAATAATATGTTTTCTGAGAGAAGGGGTATTATTGAGGGGGGGGAAGAGGGGGGGAGGGGGGATAGGGTGGAGGGTCTAATGGGTGGGACCAAGGGGGTAGGAAAAGGGGGTCAAGGGGAGGATGGGACAAGAGGGGGTGGAACAGGTGGTGGTGGGAGCAATGATGGATGTTCTCTTGCACCACCAGGTACCCCCGTGGTATTTAATATAGTGCAAATTAAACAATAATTTTAACTGACATTTAAAAAATCTGATTTATAAAGTAATTTGTTTATATATTTTCGATTTCTTTTGGAAATTTTCAAATTTTAGGTGTTCATAATTTTTTGTATAAATAAATATTTTTTACTTCAGATTTATATTTTTTTCACTGAAATTTTAGTTGAATTATTAATTTTTTTTTAAGGTATTATTCTGTAATACATGTAAAAACATAAAAGTGTTTTTTATGCCATTTATAAAACTCTTTTTCCTGGCACATAGTTTTAAGGTAAATAAAATATAAAATATGATTATTTTCAATTGCAACATCAATAACTTTATCACTAATTTTTGCATTACATTAACATTTTGTTAATACGAACAAAATATGTAAGATCAAAACATAGAAAAAATTCACTCAATCAAAAATTGTGTTCAATACACAGAAAGCAACAAAATTCGAAAATGTGATTCTAAACAACTGAGGTTGAAATCACACAGGACCCAGATTCTTGTGAAGCTGATTATGACCCCCACAAGTAGTAACTTCATACTATAGTACACCGTAGATCTAGGGAAGACCTTATTTAACCATGTAGTAACTTCATACTAAAGTACACTGTAGATCTAGGGAAGACCTTATTTAACCATCATCATCATTACTTCTACTTTCAAAGTTAAATATTAATTTTGTAAGTAAAGATGTTCATAATAATACATATATTTTGCAAAAGAAGACATTTTGAAAGATAACGATATAATTTACTCTACTTATAATTTAACAACGTTTTTGGTGCTGTTCTACAGCCTGAGAGGGGGCTGCAAATATGGAAGTAGGAATGGATATAAAAGGGCACTTATTATTCTATATGAATATACCTTTTTAAATATGCCAAGGACTGTGAAATATACTGGGTCATATATTCATACAAAGGTGCAGAACGTTACTTGACCTGATCATGGATCTAAAACCAAAAATAAAACCCACACATTTTGAAAATTTATAAATTTAGGTCGTGTTTCTGATTCCTAATCGATGCAGCACCGTTGGCTGCTGGAGCCACAGTTGCCCCAGAAGACGCCCCAGCATGGATAAGAAGTGGCTATGCATTCTCCATTCGCCAGCAAGCAGGTCTGAGGGCTGTTGGGCTTGGCCTTGGATGAGCAACAGGTACACGACTTACTCTCACAAAGCTCTGGGTAAGACTTCTCGGGAAGTACACACTTGGGCTTGCATTTGCCGTTTATCATGGCACAGTCAGTTTCTTGTTCACAGGAAGTAAGCGGAGCTGAAAATTTGTGAATAAAGAATATAATTACCGAAATCTTCTTAATTAAAAGATTTGATAATTAGAATAACATAATATGGTTGTATTAGTAGCAGGAGTAGGTCAAATAACATGACAAGATCCACTGATCTGGTTAATTTGAATAAACATTAAACTAAAATGAACACCCATCCATGAAGAAAATTAGAAAAAGAAATGAAGGCTATATGCAAACTACTTAAAAATAGGAAAGTAAGTAATTATCAAAAGAAGGTACCAAGCCGGGAAGGTTATCTTGAGATGATTTCGGGGCTTTAGTATCCCTGCGGCCCGGTCCTCGACCAGGCCTCCACCCCCAGGAAGCAGCCCGTGACAGCTGACTAACTCCCAGGTACCTATTTTACTGCTAGGTAACAGGGGCATAGGGTGAAAAAGCTCTGCCCATTTGTTTCTCGCCGGCGCCCGCGATCGAACCCGGGACCACAGGATCACGTGCCCAGCGTGCTGTCCACTCGGCCGACGGCTCCAGGAACGCTATATAGCACCATCATATGTGAAGGATATTCAGAAAGGGATAAATATCACTAAGGATGCACATACGAGAGCAAAAGCGCATAAGGCGAACAATATCAAAGGTATCTGATTCCCCAATAATTCTATCGAGGGAACAGATGACCGCGAGGGACGATTAGGATGCAAGACACACACGTTCTGGAAATCTGGACATTCAACAAGGATATGCACGACCGTAAGAGGAACAATGTAGTTTGGACAATAATATGACCTCTTAATGTGGCGCCACCACTTTAACTATATATATTGTCCGCCACGATAATTGGGAGATAATATATGTGTCAACAGTGTGAGAACACTGTTGTTTTAACGGTGCACGAACACCTGGCCTTCCAAGGTTCGAGTCCTTCATAGGGGTTGAGTTGTTTGTGTATTACATATGACTTATGAGTTTATGCAAGTGTACCGTGTATATATGAGGCTCACATTCTTTCTAGTAATGTGATTGACTGATAAAAATGAATTTTGATCTCTTATCACGGCTGGTGTCGTTGGGAAGTTGAAATTGTTTGGTTAATGCTCCCGACTTTCAATTTTTTTTTCGATCTGCCGTGGTATAAGGGTCTAGAGTACTGGTTGTGTCAACGGGGCGTTAACACCTGGCCTTCCAAGGCTTGAGTCCTTCACAGGCGTTAAGTTCACCGATTGCTTTGAAATTTTCACACAACGGTTGTGTGATAGGTTGCCATAACATACAGAGTGATCTCAGATCTATCTCTAAAAGGCTCAATTTTACTACAATCCTAGATATAGTGTTCGAGTGTGTGTCCCTGTCTTTGTCCACACACTTTACACTTTACTTCATCTAGATCCCTATACAAGCCGAACTGCCAGAGATACTTGTAGCCAAATCTTATACAAGCTGTGACAACATCTGTTAGTCTACTTACTTTGTTACTTGCCCATACACATGTTTTACTTCACACATTTCATTGTGATGAACAATGGACCTACTAGTTCCAGTTTGCACAGTTCTATTTTCTTCAAATCCATCCAGGAGTTCTTGTCTAATGACACTTTTAAGGGACTTATTTGATAACTCAAGATTCCGTTCAATACTGTCTTTATTTACTGCAGCCTTAGCACCTGAGGGCGTCAACTTTGTCATGTTCCTGCAGGCCAATGTGAGAAGGAATCCACAACATTTTCATATTTACCCTCTTGCTAAGTATTCTTATATATCTACGTCTAGATTCCAAGACAAGCACGTTATTACTTGATTGCAAACTGTTTATTGCTCGTAGTGAGGAAAGGGAGTCAGAAATAATTAAGCTGTCTACTTCAGTGTTGTCAATGATTTCGAGTGCTACCAGTATTGCTACCAACTCAGCTTGCATTGTGGATGCCCAGTTACTAATTCGAATATTCCTTTGAATTGTGCTGCCATCGGGCTGATGAGCAATAACAGCACTTCCTGCCCTCCCTGTAGGTGTACTGAGTGATCCGTCAGTGTATATGATCTGTGTTATGTTGTTTTCAGCTTGTATATTGTGAATGTGTTCTATGGTGCTTAATTTAGCAGCAAGCTGAGCATGAGGGTTGCTTGTGATTAGTTTCTTGGTGGGGTATGCAGGGGACAGGATGTCAAAAGGTACTATCTGCCAGGGTGGAAGGAAGCGCTATACTCTTTCATCTGTATATACATCGTGCAGTCCCATCATTTTAATATGAGTGGCTGTTCTTTGAATCCATTTAGACTCACTGGTTCCATTTCGTATGTGTTCTAACAGTTTAACTGAAACAATGTTGTTTTTGTTATCACGCAGAAGCTTTAGTCCCATCATAAGATTAATTTCAAATATTCTGTCTCGAATGCTAAGTATATTTAATTCTTTCCGCATGTTGAGAACTTTAGTAGTTATAGGACAGCCAAGTATTATTCTGAGTGCTTCATTTTGCATTTTTTCCAGTCTATCAATACTTTTGCCATAACAATGTTATGAAGTGTTTAAGTGAAGTTATTAAGTACATCTAGGAATGGCAAACATTTATCAATTTAAGTCTCTATAATAAATTTTATAGAGGAAACTTGATTATTATGTTTAGCTACAAAGTCGTCTGTGTTTACATCTGTAGGCCATATACACAAAATATCATCAACATATCTAAGCCATGGAATGATTCCAGGGGTAATTTTTGAAATAAATTTCTTTTCGAAGAATTCCATGTACAAGTTTGAAAGCAATGGCGATTGCTTTCAAACTTGTACAATTCCAACACAGCGCAATTCCAACACAATATATATATATATATATATATATATATATATATATATATATATATATATATATATATATATATATATATATATATATATATATATATATATATATATATATATATATATCGTACCTAGTAGCCAGAACGCACTTCTCAGCCTACTATGCAATGCCCGATTTGCCTAATAAGCCAAGTTTTCATGAATTAATTGTTTTTCGACTACCTAACCTACCTAACCTAACCTAACCTAACTTTTTCTGCTACCTAACCTAACCTAACCTATAAAGATAGGTTAGGTTAGGTAGGGTTGGTTAGGTTCGGTCATATATCTACGTTAATTTTAACTCCAATAAAAAAAAATTGACCTCATACATAATGGAATGGGTAGCTTTATCATTTCATAAGAAAAAAATTAGAGAAAATATATTAATTCAGGAAAACTTGGCTTATTAGGTAAATCGGGCCTTGCATAGTAGGCCGAGTACGACGTTCTGGCTACTAGGTACAACATATGTGTATATATATATATATATATATATATATATATATATATATATATATATATATATATATATATATATATATATATATATATATATATATAGGGGGGTACCACCACTGGTGTAATTATAGGGACCCACAGCCTCAGAGAAGGGAACACAGAGCACTCAGGGAAAAACTTGACATTTAACTCTGAATACGAAAGAGTGTTCACTTCTCCTACCACCCCCTTTTTTTTTTTTATTACGATGTACACTTTATTATGCAAGGTTATACAGTTACATATCTGATTTTATACAAAAAATGAACATTAAGAGGACACAAGAAAAAGTTCGCTTCCTAGAGGCTGTAGATTTCCTCGAACTCCTCCGACGCCGGGCAGGAACCGAGGATGCAGCGGGCATTTCCCCTCTGGATCGCGACACTGAGGCGCTGAAAGAGAAAACTTGCTGCTCTAGGGTCTCTTGTGGTGTCAATGAGCTTGGAACCAAGATCCTTAAGAAACCTTCTTGCACTCTCACCCCATGGGCCTAGGGTCTCAGACCCTATTGGAACGAAATTGTACCTTTGATCTAATTGCCTGTACTTGACTGACTTTTGTTTTTCTCTGTGTGTCGCTGCGGCTCCTGCCGTGCCGGCAGAGAGGGTGATGTATGTCGTTGCCAGGGTGGATACGCAAGTATAGTCCCATGCTAACTGCCTGCCACCCTTCCACGGACGCAGTGTGATTCCGTCTGGTCGGCCGGCAAAGCTAACAGAGTCACGGTTCAGTAGGTTGCGGGGCTCTCTCTCCGCTGGACACTGAGCAGCGGAGATATATATATATATATATATATATATATATATATATATATATATATATATATATATATATATATATATATATATATATATATATATATATATATATATATATATATATATATATATATATATATATATATATATATATATATATATATGTATGTATAGTGCCTTTACAATATAGCATTCTTTTATGGGTCAATATGGGCCCTATCGGAGTATTATTAATTTCTATGATATTGTGTTGTAATTAACAGGACTTTACACTTTATAATGAATTTATCTGAGTTACTTATTTAACAGAATTTATTAACACTAGTGGCCTTGACGTGGTCAGGAAGCCGGTGGCTTGTCGAAGTTCCCCCAATTTGCCTTGATCAATGATCGCAATAAACCTGAATAGATATATGGAAGATTTCCTGCTTTGAAGACAAGGAATCACACTTTATATGTATTTCAAAAGAAAAAAAGAACGGGGTAATTGCAAGACAAATATGTGGTTAGTATTACAATTTGCTCCACAGTAGTATAAAGTACGCCAAGTACGTGCGTGGGAAAAAAACAAAATCGCACGTACTTGGCGTACTTTATACTACTCACAGGGGCATTGTTCAAGGTGTTCGAGATGTGGAATGTTGAAATATTTAGAGTAGAAAAAATAATAACTATGAACAGTTTGATAATGAATGACACTGGAGCTCTACTGATAACACTGTTCAGTGTACAACGTGTGAATTACTTTATACAGTTAGTGAAATAAGGTCATTAGAAGCATAAAGTTAAATTGCATCCTTGTATACGTTACAAACCCATGTATTTAGACGAACTCATAGACATGCAATCTCTTTGATCATCTTGTGTATACATAAATAAGTGATAAATCAAAACTTATTTTTCCTATTAGTTTGAAAATACATTGTTTATAACAAATGACACATAATGCTATGTTACTATAGTTCATAGAAACATAAAACAATAACAAATATTTATCCACTCAATTTACTCAATGAATTATAATATAATTTACCTTTAACGCAACAGAAGCAGTTTTTACTTGTGCAAAGATTCAGGAGCGGATTCTCATCTTTGCCACACGTGGAGCCACAGCGGCCCAGTTTGGCTCTGCACTCGTTGGTCTGACTCTGGCACGAGGCTTCTGTCAGGTCATCACTTATAAATACTAGTAGAGGCAACAGTACGTAAAATATAAAAAAAAAAATAAAACTTATGAGCTTACATAATTCTTGACCGACGTTTAGAAGAAAAGTACTATTGCAGGATGATCAGAAAAGAACTGTTATGTCCATTATAACAGCCAAGAGATATAAGAGATATATATAGGAGCTCTGAAATGCCTATGTCTTATCCAGCAAATAAGACATTTATAAGATACTCAAACACAACATTATTACCCCTACACGCAATGTATCATACCCACTGGAGCACTTAAGAGCCACTAACACAGTAAACATTCCACTCAATGACACACTGTCAGTAAGAATGAGACAACAGATTCATTTAAATATATGAGAAATCAGCGCGTCTGTGTTTAACAATAATTATAACATTTGTAACCGAACTATTTGACGCAAATTTTATATTTTAATCAACAACATTATGTATAAAGTTTGACAATCAACCTACACAATCAGAATAATTATCTTTACTGTAAAAAGATGAAAATGGATGTTAATAGTTTTATTATTGTATCAATGGACTGATTATTTACGTAAACAACTTACTTTTAACGCAGCAGGAGCAGCCTGGACTACTGCAGATATTGTTGAATGTGTCCTCATCTCTGTTGCATGTGTCGCTGCAGTGGCCTCTCTTGGCTAAACACGCGCTGGTTGTAGTTTTGCAGTCTGTGACAACAACAACATTTATTTTAGAAATGTAATTTTATTTTTAAAATACGTGTTGGAAAAAATATATATACGGAAAGAGAGAGATAGAGGGCAAAACAGATAGAAAAGAGAGAGAGAGAGACAGAGTAAATAGAAAAACAAAGCTGCGAACCGTTTAGGTCATATCAAAGTTATTTATTACAACATATGGATGAGAATATCTACTCCTCTCTACACTAAGTTCCATCTGATTAGACATAATAACGTAGCAAATAAGACATTATATAAATATTTTGCACTTTTTCCAGCTTACAATGCTGGCTGTGAAAAATAAGTTTCGTAACAACTTTATTGAAAAAATGAAAGCATTTTCGAGAAAAGTATGAACTTATCCATATTTAAAAAAATGGCAATAATGAAAATACTGCAGTTAGTATTGCTGATGCCACTACATATAAACTCACTACAACAAACACTACAATTGTTCACTACTACTACAAACACTACAATACTAAAAATAACAAACAAGACATGGTAATATCTTGTCACAGGCATAATAACATATGGTAAAAGCCCACAATTATGTATTCGGCAATTTATGTAAAGATTTGCACGAAAAGGGTGTAAATCTTTACATAAAATTCAGAAATAAATAAGTATGGGTTTTTATCCTATATAATAACAAAGTAAATGGAAAATATTGCGATGCTGATACTGCAAAAACGGAACTATGCAGAACTTCAGTTGAGTTAAGAAACAGTTCTAATTTTATTGAAAAGAGTTACATACTAAATATTGAAGAAAACATAAATGATCTATGATTATTATGGTTAAATTTAATTAATCACTTTTATAATGTTTTGTTGTCACTGAGAACACAATTGAAACATAATCACTCTTCAAAGAAAAAATTAATAAATATTTATATTTTTGACAACTGAATCCTCCAATACATAAAAAATATTTACATGTTTCAGAAATTTAATTTGTGAAATTTGTTTTATTATTTTTTTTTTTGAGAGAGAGAGAGACAAGGATGTTCCAACACTTGGCATATATTTACCGTTTAATGGAAAGTAAAAATTTTCCATTAATGATCCAGCTAGGAATTAGTCAACACCTGTGGTAGTAGTCATTATTACGATAGGAGAGTTTGTTCGATGTCAGTAAACTGTAATGCATTCTTTGGGAAGCAAGCATTTGTTCACATGAGCTTTTGGATATAGGATAATGTTTACTTAAAATGCCACCCATCTTCCTATAGTGATAGTATTTATAACAATTATTTGGTCGAACGTGCAAAAATTGACTGTTGCACTGGGAAAAGGAAGCGGAAGCTCTAGGGTCTCTTGTTGTTTCAATTATACTAGAACATAGTTCCTTAAAAAACTGGTGGCACTCTTACCCCAGGCACCAAGTGTTTCAGAAGCAATGGGTACAAAATTGTAGTGGTGATCCAGTTCTCTGACCTTACAGGACTTTGCTGATTCCTTATGAGTCACAGTGTCACCCAGATGTGCAACACTGAAGTCAATGTAGGTGTTAGCCAGGGTTGATACGCATGTTACCTTGCCTTGGAGAATCCCTATTTACCAACGTCCCAGTCGACACAACCATAGGTATGATACTGGACAGAGTAAACAGAGGCGAGAGCACCCCCAAATTAGACATACCTGAGCCATACTTGAAGAGCCTTCTCGAGGCATGTACAAAGGAAGCTCCTTTCATCAGTTGGCAAGGTAACATGTATCAACAAATAGATGGAGAAGCAATGGGTTCCTCCTTAGGAGTGTTATTCGCTAATTTTTACATGGGAACCATCGAAGACAGAGTCTTTAGTAGTAGGCAAAAGTCAATGGTATACTGCCGTTATGTAGATGACATATATTCGTCATAGTAAAAGACTCAGATGAACTAATTGATCTAAAAAGCCATCTAGAGAGAGAGAGAGTCAGTACTCCGTTTTACCCATGAAAACGGTGAAAATAACAGCCTGCCATTCCTGGATGTACTTATAACAAAAACAGGAACCTTTCTAAGCACCTGTGTATATACCAATCCTAAAAACATAGGATTAGGCCTGAACGGTAGGAGTGAGTGCCCCCAAAGATACAAAGCCAGTGTTCTCAACGCTTATATCGTCGAGCGCTTACCCACTGCTCTGAATGGGAGCAACGTGAGTAGAGAGTTTGAAAGAATAACCCAGGTGTTGGTGAACAATGGATACAGCAACACAGAAATAAACACTACAATAAGACGACACCTGGATCGATGGTACAATCCTGAACCAAGAACAGAAACTACAATACCTCCAATAAAATTATAATATAAATCAACTATGCACAGTGAATATAAAAAAGAAGAACGGATAATGAAAGAAATAATCCGTAAAGGAGTAAAAAGCATTAATCCTACCCATAACGTAGAACTAATCATATTCAATAAAACAAAGAATTAGGCCTAATAGGCCTAATTAGGCCTAATTTAATAAGGCCTCCTTATTAAAAACAGCCCGAAGCCCGCCGGAGAACCCATTACAGCAGTCAAACGTGCTATACATATGTACACCTGCCCCCACGAAGGATGTAGCCTTCAATCTAAGCCCATAGGTATGACGTCGACCAAGCTGACGAGGCGTTTGACCAGTCATCTTCAATCTGGTTCCCCCCAAAATCACATTAGACAAGCCCATGACATCACCCTAACAAGAGAAATGTTGAATGAAGGCACTTATATAACAGACAAAACCCAAGATGTAAGAAGATTACAAATTGTTGAAGCAATCCATATAAAAATAGAACAACTTACCATAAATACCCAAATTATGGAACTATTCACTCTACCCAGTGAAGGGGCCTCGTAGCCTGGTGGATAGCGCGCAGGACTCGTAATTCTGTGGCGCGGGTTCGATTCCCGCATGAGGCAGAAACAAATGGGCAAAGTTTCTTTCACCCTAAATGCCCCTGTTACCTTGCAGTAAATAGGTACCTGGGAGTTAGTCAGCTGTCACGGGCTGCTTCCTGGGGGTGGAGGCCTGGTCGAGGACCGGGCCGCGGGGACACTAAAGCCCCGAAATCATCTCAAGATAACCCACCATGAGAGTAAGAACAAGACCGGAACATGAAGATGCCAGCATAGAAGACACTGCTCAACATGCTACGCCCACTACACCTGATTAATCTTTGTATGTGCTTCGTCCTCACCTGACCCCTTAATGGTATAAATCTAACACATCCTGTATTTTCTTATCATTTGAGAATGAACCATGTAGGTTCGAAACGTTATGTAAATTTTACAATATGAGTAATACATTATTCAGTTATTTATTTCTTTTTCTTCACATCGAACGAAGATGACCTTTGAAGAACTGCTCTTCCAATTAAACCAAGATGCTAGAGCACTAGTCAGAGGGATAGAAGCCCTAAATAAGAAAATAACCAATACAGAATATGCAGTCGTATTCAATGAATTAAGGAATTTCCTTAAGGACTATTGTTCTGTACTTGTACTATCCTTCTAAAGATGTATTATTAAATACGAAAGTACTTAAGGAAATTCCTGTTTCAATCCCTTTCTTCGTGGTCTGACACTGTCACATTTTTCATCACATGTTAATTTTCGTGATTTACACACACACACAATCACACACACACACACACACACACACACACACACACACACACACACACACACACACACACACACACACACACACACACACACACACACACACACACACACACACACACACACACACACACACACACACACACACACACACACACACACACACACACACACACACACACACACACACAGACACACACACACACACTCACACACACACACACACACACACACACACACACACACACACACACACACACACACACACACACACACACACACACACACACACACACACACAATCACACAGACACACACACACACACACACACTCACACACACAATCACACAGACACACACACACACACACAATCACACAGACACACACAGTGTGTCTGTGTGATTGACTCACAGTCCTTCAGTGAAGGACTGAGGGTACTGGGGGAGACAGCAGCCAACCTGCAAGATGATCTAAGGGCAGCAAAGGAGGAGATAAGATGCCTAAAGGAGACTCTTCCACAATACCAGGCACAAACCGTACCCCAGGGAGATGGGAATGCTACTGTGGAGGGGACCACCACAACCCAGATCTCATTTGCTGAAATGCTTAAAAAGAGCCCTGAAGCTAGGTCTGCAGTTAAGGAAGTTGCCATGGAAGTGGCCTCCTCTCAGGAAGCAGCTAGATGTACTAGTCGGCTGATAGAGAGAAAAAGAGCAGTAGTAGTAGCAGGCATTAAAGAGCAAACAGGGACCAGACCAAAGGAGCAGAGAGACAAGGACAAAAACATGGTTAAAAAGATCCTTAAAGAGGTAAGGATGGAGGGAGCTGAACAAAATGTTGAGAAGGTTTTCAGGCTTGGAAAGTACAACCAGGACAGAGACCGAATGATAAAGGTGGTATTCATGAGCGAAATCGCGAAAGAGGAACTTTTAGAAAGGAAGAGCTGTCTAGCAACTGTAGAGAAGTTCAAGAGTATTCCTGCAGAGGGATATGACAAGGGAAGAGAGAAAGCAGGCAGCAGACGCGAGGAAGGAGCGCAGGGAGAGCGAAAGGAATCGGGCGCCACAACCCCGATTCCTACAATCTCAGAGGGGAATGGAGAACACTCCTCAAACAGTGCAACAGCCACAGGGATTGGGGCACCACCCACACATTCTACCCACAGACACCCAACCTGCCCCATCCCCTGTCAGCCCCCCACTAAGTACCCACCCCCCATCCTCCTCCAACTCACCCCCCTCCTCCCACTCACCCCTCTCCCCAGGACCACCCTTCTCCCCCATCCCCCAAGCCCTCCCTTCTCCCACAGGCCTCCTCATCTCTCCCACCCCCAAGCCCTCCCTTCTCCCCCGCCCCCCTAAGCCCCCAACTCTCCCCCACCCCACCTAAG